AAAGTTTGGAAGAAAAAAAGAGTTTACTGGCTAAATGTGCTGCAACAACACTATCCTCGAAGCTCATTGGTGGCGAAAAGGAGTTTTTTGCCACTATGGTGGTGGATGCAGTCATAGCCATTGGAAATGATGATAGATTAAATATGATTGGAATTAAAAAGGTAAATGGCTGGGCTGTTCCTTTTCACGTATATATTTTGAATCTTGCATTTTTGTTTAGGAGAAATATGATTAGTTTCTGATCACTATTGATTTAATGTTGCTGGTTGCTTATGTTCCATCCTTCTTCTCTTCATTTGACAGTTTTAATCGTTGTCAACTAGTTAGTGTAATATTTTCAGATAGTATTGTGATGTTAATATTTTTTATCTGAGGTAGCATTTTTGAGATGAAGATGCGAGTAGCATTAGAGTTTTATCCTGAAATAGATTATTCTATGCAGTTGCATTAATGAGAGTTTCTCATTTTTAATCTAAACTTATTTTAGACATTCAGAAGATGTTTGAAAAATATGCAGAGATGTAAAAATCATTATATAAAACTGACAATTTGTCAGAATAATAGTTGCGCTAGATTTTCATCCAGAAAGTTGGAGAAACCGAAATTTTGATAAATACTATGTTCCAACTTCCAAGTGATGTTAAAATGACTTGCTGTGCTCTGAAGAACCATCCAACATGCGCATAATTGCAATTTGCAACTCAAGATTTATTTCTCTCAGACTTCCATTTCAGTTAGTCAATATGTTTTTTCCGTTCATAAAATCTTGCATTATGCTTCCCGCTTCTTGTTGCTTTTGCATAACAGTCATGTGCTGATTTACTTTTGTAGGTTCCTGGTGGTACAATGAGGGATTCTTTTCTTGTGAATGGTGTTGCCTTCAAGAAGACATTCTCATATGCTGGTTTTGAGCAGCAGCCAAAAAAGTTTGTAAACCCAAAATTACTTTTGCTGAACATAGAGTTGGAATTGAAATCTGAGAAGGAAAATGCGGAGATCAGGTTTGATATTTCGCTACTTCAACTTTCCCTATCTCCTAGGAAGTTGCTTGTTGACTTGAGAGAATGCTTACTTATCGTCGATTTTTTTTTTTTTTTAAATTTTACAGGTTGTCAGATCCTTTACAGTATCAGTCAATTGTAGATGCAGAATGGAATATCATTTATGACAAATTGGATAAGTGTGTAAAGAGTGGAGCCAACGTTGTTTTGTCACGGCTTGCAATCGGTGATCTGGCCACTCAGGTACAAATTTCAGCCCTTTTACTTTGTAGTCGCTCGTAGTATTCGCTAAAATAGTCTACATGGTTTATTTATATGGATTTGTTCCACAGTTCTGGCACTGTAGCTTGAGACAAGCTGTCAGTTTGTGTACATTGATTTATGGAAAGTAAATCTGTCTCAAGCCATAATTTGAGAAAAATGTCTATATGTGAGCCTCATCAGGATTATTTTTGGCAGTATTTCGCAGATCGTGATATCTTTTGTGCTGGTCGTGTTACTGAAGAAGATTTACAGCGAGTTGCCGCAGCTACAGGTGGAACTGTTCAGACAACTGTGAACAATGTCATTGAAGAGGTCATTCTCTTGATTATTACTCTGCAAAATACTGCTACTAATAAATAAATGAACAACAAAATTTAAATTCCTATCTCTCTAGACGTCTCTAGAACATTTTTGCAAAACGTTGCGCTTGACTTAAATAGTCACATCATTTTTATTTTTTTTTTTTCTTCTGCTGACAATTTTGTTTTATTTTTTCCTTGTTTGAAAAGGTCCTTGGATCTTGTGACTTATTTGAAGAGAGGCAAGTTGGAAATGAGCGGTTCAATATATTTAGCGGATGCCCGTCGGGTAGGACTGCCACTATTGTACTTCGTGGTGGTGCGGACCAGGTTTGTATTAACCGTGATCATCCTTTTATTATGCTCTTTAGATGTGAGATTGATTGTTGACTTTGATGGTTTTAGTTTATCGAGGAGGCAGAGCGAAGTTTACATGATGCTATAATGATCGTTAGAAGGGCTTTGAAAAACTCAACCGTTGTTGCAGGTGGCGGTGCAATTGATGTATGAATTTTTTATATATAGAAACTCAAGCCTTTTTTATATATAGATTCTATCCATTGCATTTTAGTTGTTTAAAGTTTTGGCTAAAAGTAGTGTATTTGCAGATGGAGATAAGTCGGTACCTGAGGCAGCACGCACGCACTATTGCTGGGAAGTCCCAGCTCTTTATAAATTCTTATGCCAAAGCCCTTGAGGTATATCTTTTTGAGAAAATTATTATTATTATTATTATTATTATTATTATTATTATTATTATTATTATTATTATTATTATTATTATTATTATTATTATTATTATTATTATATATCTGTTGATTCTATCGGGAGGGAATCTTTAACTCGTTACACTTTCTCGGAATGTTTGCTTGACCATTGGCCAATAACTTCCGGTATAACCCCCATTCTAGCGAGAGATGATTGGTTCATAACATCTTATAATATGGTTTTATTGTCGAGTGTATTTCCGCCTTTTTATTTCTTTTACTTCAATCGCTGCTAATAGTCTCAAGTTTTTGGTGGCTTATTGCAGATTATCCCACGACAACTTTGTGATAATGCTGGTTTTGATGCAACCGATGTTTTGAACAAATTGAGACAGAAGCATGCCCTTCCTTCTGGTTAGCCTCTAATTTTCTTCGATAACTCCTAGATGTCCTCGTGGGTGCTTCCTAGTGTCATCTCTGATCTAAATATTCTTTCAGTCGTAGTAGTAACTTTTCCTTAGTGGCTTTTCTCTGAAGTAAACTTAGTGACATTTATCGATTTTTCTTAAATTCTACAAAGGGGAAGGTGCACCTTACGGTGTAGACATTAACACGGGAGGAATTGCTGACTCATTCGCCAACTTTGTTTGGGAGCCGGCTGTTGTGAAGGTATTTTCTTTTCTAGTAGTGGTGATAAAATCGAATACTACATTTGAAGTTTTGCTTAGATAAGAAATAAAACAGAGAATTGTTAATTTTCCTTGTCGCGTGAGTATTTGCGAGTCGAAACATCATTCAAATTTTGATTAGTGAAAATTATGCCTCGCATCACAGATTAATGCCATAAATGCTGCTACTGAGGCGGCTTGCCTTGTCTTAAGTGTCGATGAAACTGTGAAGAATCCTAAGGTAATTTACAACTTTTTTAGTTAATTTCCGAGGGTTTTACACTATAGCTAGTTAATTGACCAACCTCAAGTAATTTTTCTTTTTCAAAAAAAATAAAAAAAAAAACACGTTTTTTTTAATGGTGCAGTCTGAGAGTGCACAAGGAGAGGCTGTCATGGGTGGCCGAGGCCGTGGAGGAGCTTTCCGAGGGGGCCGTGGTGGGCGTGGAATGAGGAGGTGATAGAAAAAGTACATTTGGTGAAGTTATGTTTCATTTTTCCTTTGATTTTCTCATCTTTTCAAGGAGGAAACAAAAAAAATCAAAAAATTTTGTTCTATTTGTCTGTTTTTTTTTTTTTTTTTTTTGCTTCTAGTTTCTGTTATTCTATGTACTTCATGAAGCGCAAGGCGACCATTAGTTTATGAAGATATTTATTTCATTCTCTTGGTCTAAATGGCTTTGTAAAATATGATTGTGGAAAAATGATTGCAAATGACAAATCTGTGTACTGTTACTAGTCACAAAGCCTAGGCGCAGCAGTTTGGCCCGATCGGTTCTTGGGAAGGGGGTGTTCAACCGGCCCAGGCCCGTGTATATATAGAACTTTGGAGGCAATATCCTCATTTTGCGGTTTCATTTTGCATTGTATTGGTGATTGCAGTATAATTATTTGTTTTTTGAGATCGACTTATACACATAATTATATTGGCGACCCACAATTTTTTTTTTTTTTTTTTTT